GTCTACTATGTTGTTGTTCTTTCTTACTCTCTCGTCGTACTCTATTGTGTACTACTTATTACTTTACCGTTTCGTTATAGAGTAGTAGTTAGGGGTAAGTAGTATATATATATATATAATATATATTACACACACACACACACATATATATATATATATATGCCGTACTATAAAAAAACACAACTAAAACACCCATCTCTTCAAGAATGTCTAAACAATCCAACAATTATCGTAACTTTGATTTCCCGTCATTTTAACGAATATTTTAAAGTAGGTGAGATACAATAAGACCAATCGTTTAAAATACATTATCTATCTTCTCTCATACGTACAGTTGCATGCCACAGTATTATAACTTACATTCTTATAAATTACACGTTCATAGTTTTAACATGGCTACCACTGGTCTAGACTAATCGATATCATTGACAAAATAATAATAAAATAAATTGTGGCATTATGTAATAATGTAAAATCGGTATAAAAATGCAAGGTATGCTGGAAGGGGAATGAGTGCCCTATACTCTACACAGAGGTGAGCGGTTCATTGTAAAGATTACATTAAAAGTTTTAACAGGGCGTTATGCTAATAAAGAAAGCATACGTAGATTGTTGTTTCATTTCCGACTGACAAGACCTATCTAACTTTTAACCCCATTCGTCCACTCTGCTCCCCAGAGTACTGACTGTAACCTAGGCGGGAGTAACGCTGCTGTGTAAGTGGATGAATACAGTTGGCTGTAGCAGTGTTTTATACTGAACCAACAATACCGTGAACAGTAAACATCACCTTGTGACGTAATAACAACAACCATACTTTTCTATGCAAACTTGCATGCGAGGTTTTAAAACACCTACATGATTCTCAATTGTAATTATGTTTACATCATTATTGAACTCTTTCCACTGTTTTGAACGAAATGACTTCAACTTCGCTAGCTATATGACGATCAAGGGTTTGGTGGCTCTTATAACTAGTTGCACAGGTTTACTTTAAAACTGATAAGAACATATACAAGCTGGTTCCAAACAATCTTATTTTTTTTTGGCGCAGTTGCTGTTCCCTCGTGAACTTTTAATAGTTTTTAATCGCAATAATAACAATAAAAGCAGTTTAAGGCCTGGAATAGACAGGACAGGCTCCAATTAAGACAGATTTATTTTTCTAACAGGTTGATTGGTTTATGTAATGGTATGAGTTGTTGTCGACAGTAAAGACCGACACTTTTACAAGTTTAGGAGGGGAATACATGATTTCTTGAAAAGTGAGTTTAATTTTTTTTTCTCAAGGATGTTTGTGAAAAGACAGACATGAAGTACACAAACAGCATCGTCCCTTGTATGTATAATTTGACATTCTGTCTCATTTGATGCTGTTCCCCCACCCCTCAGTAAAATTTGTATAATACTGATAACATACCTAATTAATGCTTATTATAAAGTAATTCAACTATTTTCTTGTAAAAAGTGGAACTTAAAGAAAATTCATTCTTTTCATTTGAAATATTATGAACAAGTATGCTACTATTCCACAGCCCACACTGCTAATTTTTCCAATATATTTCATTTATATATCTCAGCATATCTGCGAGCCACATAACGATACATTTCGTTATAAGATAAAAACTATGTCTTAATTGTGTACTTTCTAGTTTATAGACTCGACACAGAGTGTGTGCACTACCTTATCACCGTGGGGTAACAAACTACAAACCTACATAGCATTCATGAATATTCAGAAACATAGTACTAATAAAGAAATGCGAAATAAGCTAGTTTATCTTCCTTACGTCAGACAATGATGTGAAACAAAACGAGAGCAGGTCAAAATATTACAGAAACCTTAATGAGTAATAACATTAGGAAACGACCGTTTTTGTTTTGTTTTTTACAATAGTTCCCTTGCGATTCCGGAAACACTTTACATATTTATAGATATATATCCACAAACGGAAACAAACAGTATTTCAATACTTGAATAAGTTTCTACAATTATCACTAGTACAATTTTTATATAGTAGAACGGGTTACAATAAAACAAATTTAAGCGTCACTTGATAAGAAGAATAGATGTAATCGGAACCAATACCAAGTGTCAAATTGTCATTTCATTAAAATAAAGTGTGATCCAAAACTAATAGGGCTTAAGAACACGTGCAAATGCATGTCTTCTCTAACAGAACTCCTTATTCTGACAACATACTGTAAAAAAAACTAAAGTAAATACGAATGGTATATGGTGCATAAAAGTCCTATTATTTTTGGTTACCCCCTCAGGAAAAAGACAATTCTTATCGGTCTTTATCTGGCTTATATGCAAGCAGAAGTTACCAAGAACCAGTTTTACCTTAAGTTTTCAGCTGGGATGACCTTCTATATTATAATAGAAGACAAAGCGTCCCTTCTTGAACAGATCAAGTTTAAAATAAAAAAAACAAAGTTTTTTAGCTTACACGTATGCTAGTAGAGAATTAAAGCATACTTCCTTATTATTTTAGCCATAAAATAATGGGTTTACTAGTAAGATGGACTTCAAATTCTGCAATTCTTCGTAAGTAATATAGAAACATGGAGCTCATATGCATATATTTTGAATCAAATGGCAGTCTTTGCATTACATATTAGTATAAAAAAACATTACGTTATTTACACTTTACACCTCTTCCACATTACTCTAATAGAAATACATGTATTTGCAAGGATCATATTTTAATTTATATACATACTACACTTTTCAAGAACTAATTAGAGACTACCAAGAAATATTTAGCATAATCTGTGTGGTGACCTAATTAGTTCTTTCAATTTATTTGTTCCCAGAAACAAATAATGTATACTACCTTTTTCTGGTATTGTTTAATTACTGAAACAAAATATAGCACCTGCCAATTTTTTGTGATTTGATGTCAAAATTTAAAAGTACATAGTGTTACGAATTTCTGTCACTAGTAAAAGATACAGATGTATCACAACTTCATAGTACATGGTTTACTAGTTAAGTGATATAACATAAATAAATGATTATTTTGCCTTCAACAGTAGTATCCAAAGTTCAAGCCTTGTAACATTGTAAAAACACAGTTAAAATTTGGCTGTGGTTTTAAATGTCTTTAAACTATTAGTATGTAGTTATATATAATCGTGAACAATAACCATGTTAAACTTTAAGACATGAATCCTGTTTTAAGATGAGTTTGATGTAACACACTAAAGGGGAATTAACATACTCTAACTTATATGTTAAATAACTTTCATATGAAAACGACCTAAAAGAAATTTGCATTGAAATACATACATTGTTGTTCTTTTATTATTTTCAAACATTAAACAATACATTAACACATATTCAGCTATTTGAGATCTTCGTCACATTTCACACAGCAATGCATCAATATTAGTGTATAAAACAAAAAAGGCTTCATCCATACACTATCAAATCACAAGATATATACTCAATATAGAAATAGATCTTTCAGTAATTAAAAATGACCAGTTATCAAAGAGATAAGAAACACAAAAGTTTACTGATTAGTAACTTATATGCTTAATGAGAAATTTTAAGGGAAGACTTTAAAATTAAATTCAACAATGCTACTGCTATTATGAACTAGGTAATAAGTACGACTTTCAAAGCATCAAAATGTTGTACTACACAAGTTTTTACTATATAAAAATTAAAACGAACGTTATATACAAATTGTCTTATTTAGATGTTATCCAATACCAAATAACAACCAGTCATGTTACTCGGTTATCGTATATTAACCTTTCATTAATATTATTACTACTAGTATAAGTACTACTACTACTACAAGATATTCTTTCTGCCACTAAGCTTTTCTTACTTTTTTTACGAGCCATGTTTAAAATGTTACGAATATGCCAACATTACACAGGCCCTACACACGTAGGTTTTAATGTTCATCTATGTCTATGTACAACATATTACAAACACAATAAATAACCTTTTTAAAAAATAAATAAAAATTGCTGTAGCATGACGTCATTTCGCTCGACTAGTACTAGTAGTACTTGACGTCGCTGACGGTCTGCAATTTGAAAAGTTTTGCCAAATAAAAAATTATAAAAACCTGTTTTTACACAAATAAAATGACAAAGAAACAAAGCTAGGCCTTATTAAAAGTACATTATTATTAACCAATAACATAGCACTTACCAATGACAGCGACACACTAAGTGTAATGAAAAACAACGTCAAGGTCGAAGAAAAAACCTTTGCCTCAGGAACGCGCATTGTGTTTAAGTATGGAAGTGATATACAATTCAAAATTTTCATTAAAAAACTAAACTGTTAAATCATGTAATGGTAGAATACCAATACCTCAAATTAAAAATTTTACTTTGAAAAACGACGGAAGTAAAGCAAACAGAACAAGCAAGAACAGGTTAGACTGTTAGATGATGGAGCGATGCAGGGTTTCGCTGTCTTCAGAGCAGAACGGCAAAAGTCAGACCTATACAGCACTCGGATTTCTTCAAAATTCAAGTCTAATTTATAAACGAATGAAACAAACAGGTTTAAAACTGGTAAAAATGGGCCGCACAGATAATTCAGTGAGATGTTTAAGCACTAAAACCTTAAAACGAAAGTCGACTTAACCGTTAAAACAGGAATAACCTAAAGAAAACGAAACTATAAAAGAAACACCAACTATACAGGCTCACACGAAAGCTACACTGTCACGCAAGCAGTAGTCTAGCCCTGTTGCTGAAGCGATGGTCTTAGAGTAACTGCGCACACACTCAATGCGCATCATACGACTGGTTTATGACATCACTTCCTATCTACAGTTTAACTCCTGAATGGCTTGAATCTTAAAAGGGGGAACAAATTAAAGGTAAATAAGACGGTTAACTGCTTTGCACGACTCTTTCCTTATTGAATCACGAATTTGAAATGTTATTAATTTTATAACAGAGTTTTAATGTATATATACTTAATATTTTGGAGTACATCACACTCTTTTGGTCCAAAATGGGTTTGATATAAAAAAAGAGTAGTTGCATTTTAATATACTTTATCATATGCATTTCGCTACTTCCAGTTCACTAGCCCAGCTAAGTTATTTATAATATGTCACTAATAGATGTACTTCCGCAGGGTCCCCAAAAATGTTCTGTTTCAAGAGTAAATGAAACCAAAATTAAAAATAACAAGTATTTTTATTTCTTGCTTTTGAAGTTCATATGTCATGCTGTGTTGTAGCTTACAGAGAGCACAATACTTCTCGGATTCGTAGCATGCCCATGTTTATTGACGTCACGACAGTACAAATTCTAATGTTAAGCATCCCTTAAGTGACGGGGTGAAGAGAAACTGAAGTTTCTGAGCGCCCCGGGTTATCCTTCAGGCCCCCGAAGATCTCAAACCTAAATTACTGCTCAGACCTTTGCTCTTATGTGATGTCATTTTAGTGTCTATCAAATTCTTGACGTGCTCATTATATAGCATCATCTGGTCATGAGCTTTGAGATAACTTCTAACAGTCAGTATCAGAAAGCAAGCTTATACGATGAAAATATAAGGTATACACTTTAAACATCTGGTGTACAAAAACAGTGGAAATATCGAATTTCAAGAGAGAAAAGTTTCATAAGCATCCCGGTGAACCAAAGCCAAATAACTAGCGTTACAATTACTTACCTACTTTCATATTGTTTATCTATTACAACTTCAAAGAGGCTTTGAAAGGACATCATTAGAAATGAAAGACAAAACATAAAAATAGAAAACCGTAATTAAAGTGTGAAGATAAATAAATAATGAAGTCGCCAACTTTGAGAAAAAATGCTAAAGAAGAAATTAGCATAAAGATACAGAAACCAGTGCAAAATAGTGATGGTAGATGAGTCATAAAAATAGTATAGAATAAATATGAGGATTTTTTTTTATTTATTGAAATCAATGATATCGAGTTCGTAACCATCCAGAAACCATAGAAAACAAAGATGCCACATACAGAAAAAACAGTAAGGACAACGAGTATTAAATAAAACAAACAAAAGAAAATAAAAATTATTATTGTGCAAAGAGCTGTGGGAGGCCGGACTAAGAAGATAATAGTTGCGGAAACAGTTACAAACATTACAATCAAACCTTCTATTTTTCTGTAAAACAGGAGCTACACTTCACTTAAACACAATCATGCTATTCAGAGCAGCAGCTTCCACATGGATTGTACCATTTACCACGTTTTCTATAACCTTATTTACCAAATATACAACACCAGTCTATATTACTGAAGTCACTGCTACAGTAACATCGATCAGAAAACTAATTCCACATTGCCAGTCCATAAAATAACCTGCAGATTTTGATGAATAAATCAGAATAAGCACTATTTGAGAGTTTTATGAGAGAAAACCTATAATCCTACGACTTTCTATACTTAAGTATACACACACACACACACACACACACGGGAGTGAGACACAGGGCCAAAGTGATACAAACACAAACTTCTAGCCGTTGCCTTATGCAACCTTTAAATAACTAAAAGGATTAGTACATGTTCACGACTTTTTGTAATCAGATTAACGAGATGACGTAACTCAAGTATATGCAACAACACCTGCACGAAAGTTTAGAAAGTTAGGTGATTATATCCCTGATGACACTGGCTGCTCTGGGGGTAAAAACTCTTGGTGTATGTGTGTGTCGTATTAAATATTAAGGCTGTACCTATTTACTATTTTAGAAAATTAATATATATATTTTTATTTAGATTTTATTTAAACATGGTGTATCGAACCATGACTTGTGCTAATTTTATTGTTCAGCGAAATACACTCAGTAGGAGGTCTGTCCAGGGACATGTTTTCCCTCAAGCTGACCTTGGCTAATATAGAGGTTGTGCGGGGGAGAAAAAGATGGTCATATTGAAGAACTCTAATGTTACTCTCTTTTTTTTTTTTTTGAAGAGTTTGATATTGTGACGTGTGTGATTCGGCATTCTGGAAATTCTTGTGGACCACAGGATTGAATCATAACCAAAGCTAGTTGTTGAGCAGGCTTTCCGTGGTTATTGTTTATTGATTGGTCAGAACAGTTTTAGTACTTGCGTGCGGAAGCACATTATGCTAATACAATAGTAAATTGACTAACCATAATGATTTTTTTATGTAAAGAACATACTGCATGTTTCAACAGAACATTGATCTGTCTTTTAAATGTACAACCAAAAGTACCCGTCCCCAGTGACGGGAAAAGTTTAAGTTAATCTATCAATTTAAATTATTTCACGGACATTAAAAAGGTTAACTGTGCTGCACTCTTGGTTTCACTTAGAACCAAAGCGCTGAGCTACTTATGCTGCCCACCGCGAAAAGTATTGTTGAGCATTTCAGCCATGTTAAGAGTCGCTCAACAATAACATACGGGAAATCTACATTTGTATTATTTAAGTTACATCACATTTTGAAATGTAGACGATAATGTCATTAATTCCTAACAATTTAGTGTAGAATGTCCTGCTTGCGAAATAAAATTTGTCATTAACGTTATTCATGACTGTTCTCCCGTTATTTCAAAAGTGAATGTTGAACTTTGCTTGTGTGAGTAGGTTTTCAAACGGGAGACAGGCGAACGCTCGGACAGACACCATGGTTCGCAATATATTTAAGATTATATACAAAGTATATGTAAAAAATCAATATATACATAGACAAATCACGCAAGGAATTATTATATACAAGAATGTTGTCATATGACAACAGGGAAATTGACATCAGAAATGAAAATTAAGTGAATAAACGCAGTCAAATTTTGCTGATGTTATGAGGGCCATTGCGACGTTTTAGTGAAAAAACGCCTGCTTTAATTATTTCTGTCGTTTTTAAACAGTCTATTTCTTTTTCGTTATTTTGGGTTGGCGTAGGCGAAAAATTTCATCCAAAATTATCTTATGATCTGATTGAAACTGATGGCATGTGAAGAGAGATTTCTGAAATTCACCTCTACACATATGACCTTGGTGTCCTTTGTGTCTGATTTTCAAGGCACAGGAGGTTTGTTCTGTATATCTAATACCACACTTACATGGGATACTACATATACTTTGGTTTTGTTCCTTCAGAAGAGGTAATTTCCAGTTTTTAAGTTATTAAATGAAGCGGCGATTTCTTAAATACTTTATGACATAAAAGGAATGAAACAAATATGTGTTTTCTTGTTAATAATAAGAGAAAGTCTGGAATTAGCATAAAAATGATTCAAAATTCACATGCAAAATCCCCAGTTTTCTGTACAACAAAAGCTACACTCGACTTGATATAACCATAACATTCAGAGCAACAGTTTCTTGTTGTTGTTTCTTTGTTATTAAGCACAAAATTACATGGGTATTGAAACCCAGTTTCTAGGAGTATAAGTCTGCATACATACCACTGTGCTACTGGGGGGGGGGGGGGGGGCTCCACCAGCTCCTACATGGATTACACAGTTATCAAACCCAGGCTTTCTTTAATCTTATATATCACATATCCTACAATATATGTTTTGTGCAGTGTAATGGTTTCTCTATGTAACCACCTCAATACAGCTTACGTTATGAAAAAGTAAAAAAAATCATTATATGTATAAATAGGATTTTGTGTGAGTAATTAATATATCTCCATCTTCTTATGTTTCTTTAAATTTATTCCTTCTAAGAAACAAAGCATAAAAATAATTTAAGATAAATCTGCAATTAAAAAAAAGAAGAAGTATGGAACAACAATCATCATGTATCCAATTTTGCACATATGTACACGTGTAATTCGTTTTCTACATAGTTTTCTGAATGTTTTAAATACACAACTATACATTCCAAATAAGAAGCAGGGTTCATTTTAACGTGCAGTAGACCAATACTTGTGCAGAACTAAAATTTATAATAAAATCTCCAATGTCATATAAAGAAACAAGAAGCCAATGCATGACCATGATACTGAAAAGCAAAAGTACCTTTATTTACTTTTTATATGACAAGAAGTATATTTTTAATTTTACATATGCTGATTAGAACTTTGTTTTAAAATTTTTAGTCAAATACTAAGATGGTTAAAACTTAAAACACTGTATTTATATC